ACCTACCCTAACCTAACTGCAGCGGAGTGAGCCCGGCGGTTCCCTTACCTCTTCCCAAAGATATAAATCCCTCTGTGGCGGAGTCTTACCGACAGTTCTCAAAGCCCCCTTTTCAGCTTTACTCTCGGCAAACTACAAATTTCTTATAGAGTGAACCTGGTAAGATTGAGTTTTACCACCCCGGCCAAGTTACTACTACAAGTTAAATGGACGAGGATTAAAAGTTAAAAGAACATCAAGTGAATTATTTTTTATTTATTATTTTTATATATTTTTTTTGTGTGAAGTGAACAAAAAAGGAAATATAAGAAAAGGAAAATAATAAGGAACAAAGACAAAAGTGCGGGATGGTCAAAATTTAAAGATATCACTCGGCCGAAGATAGCGTCTCGCAGTCGACGTCGGTGCCGAAGGGCCGTTAAGGCGTCGTGACACCGACTGTACAGTGGGACGAATTCAACTCACACAAATACAATAATAATAATAAGATTTAAAAGAATATTAAGTGCTTATTTTTATTAATTTTTGGGGTTTCTAAATTTTGTGAAATAGTCGAAAAAGGCACAAATACAAAGGAATAATAAAAATAAATGAGTGAAGAAAAAGGGAATATATATCTGCGCATATATATTGTCGTAAACAAATGAGCCTGCAGAAAAGGCAAAGACAAAAGTAAAATAAAACACCCTACGGAACGAGAATTGCCCACCCACAAACACAAAAACCAAGCAAGAGTCCACAAGAATGAGAAGTCGAAGCTGGCACCTAGAGTGAGTAATAAAAACTCAAAGTGTAGTCAGGTGAGTGCCAAAATCCAGGGGTAGGCGTGCGCTGGATCCACCAGCGATGCAAGGAGGAACTGGTAGCGATCGCCCATGTGTTCGGGCTGGACAAGGAAGGGCGCGTGGAGGAGCTGTGTAAGCGGCTATCCACTTTCAGGATGGCGGCCAAAACGTTGTAGCCGCCATCCTGCGGCGACCCACCCGACGTTGGCGGACGGCCGCGTCAGAAATCGAAGCCCGACCTAAGGAACTCATAATTGTACAAGCGTCCACATATTTCGACCCCTTTAGCAGTCACGGGTGTTGGGGACGCTTATAAAGTTAGAAGCGATGGAGTCCGCCCGGAGCAAGTCCGGAAGGCATGAGGTATAATGGCCGTTCCGACCCCCTTGGGTTCTTGGAGGACCTAGAGGAGCGCTCCATTACGTATGGCTTTCCCTTGATCGATTGCCTCGTGCCATGAGTAAGGTATTCTGCGACAGGGCCGCTCGTTGGTTCTTGAGTAGTGGGCTGAGGGTGCCATGGTCAATATTTAGGAGGGGTTTCTTGGAGTTCTCTCTGCCACCACGCTATTTCGAAAGGCTGGAAGACGAAATCCGTGCCCGCGGCCTAATAGAGCTGAGGGCTTGGATGAGCTGGCGCAGGAGTTGCACTGGATATACGAGAATGCCGCCCCTGAATACAAGCTCTACGTGCGACGGCAAGATTTCTCCACTTTGTCCCAGCTGACGCAGATGGCTGTGGAGTATGAGACTATCATGAGGCAGAGGGCAAAACCCTCGCGAAGCAAGTCAGGGAGTCAAATGGCCACGAGTTCGAGTAGCGCAGAGTGGGCGAGGACGGTACAAACACCTGGGGGACAGCTACGCCGCAACGGAAATGGGTATTATCCGCGGCGAGCGTGTCGTAGGTAACACACCCCTCTTGTTCTGTTGGGTATATAGGAACCGGGGTGGGAGTAGCCAGGATTGTTGTCGCCGCTCGCAGGCGGGAAACAGGCAATGGCGTCGCCCAGGCCAGGATCGGGTCGGCGCCGATGCACACGTGACCAGGTAACAGAACACCCACTAAAGGTGGACGGTGGCCGAATCGGCGCTACGGTGGAGATTGGCGGGCGAACAATGCCTGCTACCAACCATACCGGAGCCACTCGCAGCTTCATGAGTGACGATTGCGTACGCAGTTGGGCGATTCGGGGAACAGCGGAGGACATGCAGACGCGTATTCGTCTGGCAGATGGTTCCACGCTCGAAGTTAGGAAGGCATTGCGGTTAGACGTCGGCCTAGCGGGGAAAGATATCAGTATGTTGATGCTCATGGATTTCTTGGGTGCAATGGGCACTACAATCCGAGCGAGGAGCCGACTGAAGGCCTCCCAGGTCATGAAAAGGGAGTACCTGCTGCAGCGACAGATCTACGCTGGTCGTGGAGGTGGCACGGCGGAAATGTGTTAGAGAACGGAAGGATTAGGAGCCATGGCTAGAATCCACGCGGACGCAGGGGATCGAGAGCAGCTGCCCGAGTGGAGCAGTAATGAAGCTTCACATGGATTCGGCGTGATGCATGGACGAGGCGAGACGCAGAGTGAGCCCAGCATCGAAGAGGCAGAGTGGCCTGCACAGGATCCGACTGAAGGATGATGAGCCGCTGAAGCTGAGGTGTTATCCGAAGAATCTGGCCATGCAGAGGGTGATTGACGAACAGCCGTCGCGTAGTCCGCACAGTGCTCCGATCGTCTTATTCAAGAAGAAGACTGGCGAGTGACGCATGTGCATCGACTACCGACAACTCAATGCCCATTCCATTCCGGATGCTTATACTGTCCCCCGGATTAATCACATCCAGGAGCGGTTGCGTCACGCCCTGTTCATCTCCACTCTGGATTTGAAGCACGGGTACTGGCAGATACCGATGGCAGCCGATAGCCCGGAATATACGGCATTCACAGTCCCAGGAATTGGTCTTTTCAAATGGCGGATGATGCCTTGCTTTTTTGGCTTGCATTCGGCGTGTGCGACCTTTTAACGAGCCTTGGACACGGTAATAGGGCCGGAGATGGAGCCTCATGCGTATAATATAATATAATAGGGGCGACGAAAGAGCAGCATGTACAGAATTTGAGGGAGGTATTTCGCCCGTTTTTCAAGGAGAGGTTGGAAGGGATACGTACCTATCCGGAGAAGGTGGAGGTGATACGTAACCTTAGGGCCCCGACTAATTGTAAGGAGTTGCGACAGTGTCTCGGGATGGCTTCATGGTACAGGCGTTTCGTCCCCAACTTCGCGACTCAGGTACAGCCTTTAACGGAGCTCTTAAAGAAGGGGCGCAAATGGGCTTGGGATGAAGCACTGGAGGAGGCATTGCGTTAATTGAAGGGATAGCTTGACGACTGCCCCTGTGTTGGCTTGTCAGCACTTTTCCGCCGAATTCGTCTTGCAGACTGACAAGAGTGAGTATGGCCTCGGCGCAGTGCTGACGCAGACGATAGAAGGGACAGGAGCGGGTGAAAGCTGAGGAAAACTATTGAGTAGGTTCAAGGTACCTAAGAAGTTCGTCTGCGACAACGGGGTACAATTAGAAGTCGTAGCTTCAAGGCTTTTCTGGAGTCCCTGGGTGTAGAGGTCCAGTATACCGCCCCGTACTGTCCGCAAGAGAATCCTACGAGAGGACCAACAGGACAATGAAGACCATGATAGCGCAGTTTATCGAAGGCCATCAGAGTTCGTGGGACGAGCTCTTGCCGGAGATATCGCTAGCGGTCAACATAAGTGTGGTCCCGCTTTTCTGATGCACGGAAGGAAGCCGCGGCTTCCCGCCGCTCTGTACGATCAGGTGACTCCGGGGTCTGCAAGCAGTGCGTTCGACCCTAGGGCAAAGGCGGAGGAAGTCTTTTATATCGTCCATGGCAATATCCAGCGTGCATCGAAGGACCAAGGTGACAGTCTTTAGAAAAGAAAATAGGAGAAATAAGTTAACGCCTAGATTCACTAAACATATAGTCAAGCAGGACAAAGGTCCAACTTTTATATCACACAAGGATCAAAAGATACAAAAATCAAAAATTAAATAAAGGACAAAATAGTAAATACAGTTATATTTTCAGATTCTGCTGTGTAACAGCAAAGATTATTAAAGTACATAAGCTGGAGTAACACGACAGACTCGCAAGAATAAGCCTGGGGACCGCAAGAGTTATAATATCATATATGCATCTTTTACATAAAAACTTGTTAGAAAACACAGAAAAATTCGAAACAGCATAAAATGACTTAAGACAAGTAAAATTTTTAGGATAAATTAAAGACAGTCTAAAAGCAAAAGTAGACCAAATAAGAATCAAAATAAATGTATAAATAAATGTAAAAAAAGGGACAAAAATGGTTTAATAAACGGTCTTGGTAGTATAATAAAAGTAGGAACAGGAAATATTGACGCAGCAGACGCCCAATCTTTTGCTGATCAATTTAATGTTATTAAAGAAAACGAAAACCAAATTACACAAAATGTTAACAAGCAAATAATATTTAACTACGAAACTATCCCAAGATTTGAAAATATTACTGAACACATAAATCAAGAACAGGGAATAATTAACAATTTCATTAAAAACTACAAAAACAATACATACAAAACACTAAATGTAGAACACAACGAAATACATCTACTTCAGTACCCAGCGGACCAAACTGTCGCAAATGATATCACAAACTGGTGAAATGCGAGAGTTTACCCGACAAAACTCTCGCAATCGCATCGGGAAACGATAGCAATATGAATCATATGTCGTTCAGTTTGTGGCAGTCAAAGTTTCATTTACGATTGTCGCCAGAAATACGGCTAGCGAGCCTTTTGTGATATGTTTTGCGAGCCTTTTCTGATATTTCTAACGAGTCTTATAAAATATTTTCTGTGATACGTTTTTGATTCAAAATAGCTTTAAAAAAAATATTTTTTTTAAGCCGGTAGCAATATTAAAAAAGTCTCTTAAATGATAAGGCAAAAGGCTCGCTGGAAATATGTTTTACGAAACTTTTTTTTTAATAATGCCCATTTTGTTCCCATAAAAATGTTGCTTGTTGTTTTTTTTTAACATTCATTTTAAATTCAAATTTTATTTTAAAAATAAATAACATTTTAATTGATTGATTTAAACTAATTTCTTAATTATAATAAAAGTTTATACATATATAAATTAGAGTAATTTAAAACTATTTTTCATTAATATTATAAATGATTATTATTATTAATATTATATTATATTATATTATAAAATTATATTTTAATTTTTTTGGCATCAGCCTTTTCTATGCGCGCCACTCTTTCCTGCGCGTACTGAAAATATTTTTGTGTGACGCGGTCGAAATCGCTGTCTTCCAGCGCAAACTTCTGTTTAAATGCATCTGTAGACAATAACAAAAATAATATTAAATCGCACATATACAAGTTTTAAAAGTAATGCTTACTTCGTATTGCCAATGTGGTTCGAAGGCCTCTAACACACATTTTTTTCTCCGTCCCACGCCAGGAGCATTGCCTTGCCACATCGTCAGTTATTATTTGGCGCCAGGAGCTCCTAATGAACTTGTCGTAGGTCTTTTCACCGCTTTCGACTAATTCAACGACCTTAAGGAAAATGTAGGATTTATAAGTGAATAGTAAAAGTATTTAATTTAAAGTTTCCTTACCAAGTTTTTAAGGGACTTCTCTTCTTTGAGGCATTCTTCAAATGCCTCAAAGTCCCCAATAGTTGCTTTTGGCGCACTTGGCAGCGTCAATTTCGCCTTGTGCGCCTCTCCGCAAACTCGTCCCTTTATAACTGATATTTCATTTCTTAATGAAATTAATTCAGCCCCTTGACGATCAATTTTCATCAACATTTGATGCATCAGGCTTAATAGTTCTGCAAGTATATTAGAAAAAAATCTATTAAATGTGGATTTAATTCGAAATTGTTTTAATACATTACCGGAATGATTGCATTGAGCTTGTGAGTTATTCATTCCTTTAGTATTTGGTGGATTATTAGTTAAGCCTGAATATAGGTGAAATAAAAATGAATAAAATATATATAAAATGTAAAATTATGTCAATAAGTTACCTGATAGACTGTAATTTTGACTATTGTCGTATCCTCCTCCATTTTCGCTGCCATCCAAAACAAAATTATACGACGAACTCATTGTTATCTGAATTTAGTCAATTAAAGGAAAGTAAGTGTGTATACCATTTTCTTCAAAATGAAATATTTTGCCTGATATTTTTTCAACGCTATGTAGCACTACTTTCGAGTGGAAATTGAGTTGTTTTGAAGAGAATATGCCTACAAAGATGGAATTTATTGGAAAAGTAAAAAATGGCTCTAGGTCAACAACTAATCGGCTATGCAAAATTTTGTTGTCAATGTCAATAATTTTATATATTTTATATATGTTGCCATCCTTTACGAAGAAAAAACTATCGCGATCTTTTAGATCAAAATACCAGTGCTTATATGAAATTTTACCGTTGGACCCATTGAAATTTAAAGTTTTTTCTTTAAGAACGACTTTTAAAATACTGCGTTCAACAGTTCGGTTGTATAATTGCTCCAAGGAGTAGTCCGACTTTTTCACCATTTTTTTTAGATGCCCCAGAAAGTTTTCGAATGGAAAAGAGCTTATGGTCTGAAGAGAACCATATTGTAAAGTTTGTTTGCTTAAATGTGTTAAGCAATGAAAATTAAATGTGAGCATCGGAAACATATACATAGTAGGCACTTGGCTTACAAAGTCATTTAGCAAACTGGATGCAAGAGAGTTTTGTGTGACACAATACTCCTTGTGTAGAAGAAGTCTAATTCCTAAGCTAAGTAATAAGAAATGATTGTATAAATTTGAGTCTATAATGTCTTTCAAGACAATGGGTCCGGTATATAATAAAAAAGTACGAAACTCTGTGGCCTTAAATCTATCGAGATTGTCTAAAGACCTAACTTCTCTATTGAATTCTCTAGGCAAAAATTTTTTGAAGTGCGTTAGTTTATTATTAAGAGAAGTTAGGGATTGCCGACTCAAAGAAAAGGAATGACCCTTGGCTCTCGCTAATGCCACTAAAACGGATTTTGTGACGCCAAGACAAACTACGTGCATATAGTCTAGGGGAAACTGATTTACTAAATTAGAATAGAATAAAGAATATTTGTGTATTCTCAAAAATTCAATTGCATTTAAATTATGGCTTAAATTGATGGGCAATACAAGTTGGATAATTAACTTGATTTATAGCTTTGTGGGGGACGCTTTAGCGGGGACGTGGCGATAGGTATAAAATGAAAGATACTTGATATACATATATACATACTATTCTAGAAGCTACATGTCAAGTTTGGTGACTCTAGCTCATATTATTTGCCGAAAATGCTCAAAAACCAGGATTTCAATATCGATTTTTATCGATTACTTGGAAACGGGGCAAGTTATCGAATATCGGAAACAAGCTCGATCTACGCGGGCACTAGGAGGACCTACAGCTAAAATTTCAAGTCTCTAGCTCTTGTAGGTTCTGATATCTTTGCGTTCATACATACGGACAGACAGACGGACGGACAGACGGACAAAGGGACAGACAGATAGACGGACATGGCTAGATCGACTCGGCTATTGATGCTGATCAAGAATATATATGCTTTATGGGGTCGGAGATGCTTCCTTCTGCCTGTTACATACACTTGCAATTACAATTATAGACAGACTTAAAGCAAAAGTAGACCAATTTAGAATAAAAATAAATGCATTATTACCTAATAAAAGGGAAAAAAGAGGATTAATAAACGGTCTTGGTAGTATAATAAAAGTAGTAACAGGAAATATGGACGCAAAAGACGCCCAATCTATTGCTGATAAATTTAATGTTATTAAAGAAAACGAAAACCAAATTACAGAAAATGTTAACAAGCAAATTATATTTTACCAAGAAGCTATCCTAAGACTTTAAAATATTACTGAATAGGGAATAATTAACAATTTTATTGAAAACTACAAAAACAATATATACAAAACACTAAATGTAGAACACAACGAAATACATCTACTTCAGTACATTACTAGAATAAATTTCAATATAGATTGTACTGTACAATCATATAAATAATATAGCAGAAAGTATTCTACTAACTAAACTAAATATAATACCGAAATTTATATTATCTGAAAAAGAAATTAGATTTATAAATAAATTCATATCCAAACAAAATGTAATATTAGAATCCGACGAACACTTATACAGATTGTTAACCTTAGAAACCTACCTCAACGATTTTAACATAACATTCCATGTACAAATTCCTATATTCAACACACAAATGTATAAATTAGCACACATTGTTCCTCTGCCGCTACATCAAACTAAATTCCTAATTGTACGCAACTACATTTTGTACGACCAAAAGGGTCAAATTTTGTACTTAGAGAAGACATGTCCCAAAATTCATCAAGACCTATATATGCGAAAACACACTTGCACAAACCAACCTGGTCAACATACACTGCTTCAAGAGAATACCTACTAACGGCAACCATGCAGACATCAAGGATGTCGGACATCAAGAGGTCATAAAAGAAGTGAAACAACGACACGATCTTTTTTTTTTAACACTGTGAATACCAACGTCACATCTTCATGCCAGAGACCCTTCACAATCAATGGGTCAGCCAATATTAACATTCGACAACTGTACGGTCAAAATCAACGGCTTATCATACGATGACACTGTAATGGAAATCGAAGCAAAGGACAGAACTGTCCATAGAATCGTTCAAACAGATGAACATAAAGCAACACGTCTCGAAGACATAAATCTACAAAAGCTTCACTTACAGTCCTTAGCAAGTCGAAACGACCTAATTGTCATGAAGACGACAGCGAGCAAACCACCTCTTCACACTCTACATACTGCTTACTATATTGGCTGTATCTGCAGTATGCATCCTAACACTCAGGAGAAGAAACATCATCTTCAGCCTCGGCGGAGCCTCCACCGATTTGCGTTCCGGCCATTCCATCGATGTGGCCGTCACTTCATTCCAGGGGGGTAGGAGTTACCGAATCCACCATACAGGATATATTCGATTCGGTTCCACCCGCCAATCCGCCGAGAAACGGGCATTGCCCACACAAGACCAACACAGCATTTTGACGCTCTGTTGCAATGCTGATCTGGCGCTTTAGCAGGATGTTGGTTGCGACAGTTCTCGTGCAAGACACTTGAACTGCTGCAGCAGCAGTTTCCCAGATACATGTTGCTAGCATATAAGCAAATAATTGTATACATTTAGCTTAGCTTAAGTTTGAGAAATAAAGATACAGTTAGTTCATTTTGGAACCAAGAAGAGAAAAGTTGCAGTGATCATTAAACTCGTACCTTATTGAAATAATCAAATAACTGTACCATTAACTTGTACTATCAAGACTGGTAGCTCGCGCTCGTTCGCTTTAGTAGTAATAAAGATAAATTAAAAAAAAAAAGTTCCCATGGCACGGTTCGAACTCGCAACTGACCACATTACTTGCTGCCGCCTCTACCCAACAGCCTCACCAGTAATTAAATCTTAATGAGTAAAAAACGAATTAAATTAGCAGCACAGAAAACAATACAATTGCAATAGCAATGCTGGTGATAGAATTCAAAGCAGTCGCGCATGAATGTGTGGGTGTATACACGTTTTGCTGCTTGATATATACATATGTACTTTTCTAGAAGCTCATGTCAAGTTTGGTGACCTTATCTCTTATCATTTACCAAAATTGCTCACAAACAGGATTTCGATATCGATTTTTATCGATTACTTGGAAACGGGGAAAGTTATCGAATATCGAAAATAAACTCGATCTGCGCGGGCACTAGGAGGACCTACAGCCAAAATTTCAAGTCCCTAGCTCTTAAAGGTTCTGAGATCCTTGCGTTCGGACGGACAGACAGACGGACATGGCTAGATCGACTCGGCTTTTGATGCTGATCAAGAATATATATACTTTAAGGGAACGGAGATGCTTTCTTCTGCCTGTTACATACATTTTCACAAAAACATTATACCCTTTTTACCCATTTTCAATGTGTTCAGGGTATAATAAGTAACGCCATACAACAAAATGCTACTATGCAGTTTGCTTTTTTTTTAAATTTAGAACGAAAACGAAATCAGTATCATTGCGCTCTCACACCCGAAAGAGCGAAAAGCTAACAAAAATATACCCTCAGCTTCGGCTCTATGACGGCCGTCATTATGTTTGTATGTGTGTTTATATACATACACTAGCGGGTACAACCCGGCCTTGCCCGTGGCACGTGTGTTATAAAATAAATGTTCTTAAAAAGCTTTGAAAATAATTTTGAAACTGATCGAACGGTTAACAAACAACTTTCATACAAACATTTTCCGCCAATTTACTACTGTTAGGGCTGGAATTTCCCAAATCGCTGAAGCCCGTATTCATTATATTCTTATGTAGAGCTTTAAAAATAAGTTTCAAGCAAATCGGGAAAAAATAAAACTTCACCCAAAAAAATGTTTAATCGCATTTCTACCGAAGAAGTTTGAATTCTGCGAAATGTGAGAAACACGTCTGTGAATTTTTATATAGATCTTTGGAAATGAATTTGAGCGCGATACGTCACCCACCAATTCTTTGACCTCCATTTCCACCGAGGAGGAATGGATTTTTCGAAAAGTGTGATACACCCCTCAAATGAATTTGAACAAAGATCTTTGAAAATAAGTTTGAGGCCGATCCAAAGGTAAACAAAAAAATTTCATACAACCGTCTTCCCCCAATTTACCACTGTTGCAGGTGGAATTTCCCAAATCGCTGAAATACGTATTCATTAAGTTCTTATGTTGAGCTTTGAAAATAAATTTGAAGCAAATCGGACACAACTTAAAACTTCGCCCGAAAAATCTTTAAATCCCATTCCCCCCGACGAAGTTTGAATTCTGCGAAAAGTGTAAAACACGTCTCAAATAATTTTTCTTATAGATCTCTGGAAATGAATTTGAGTGCGAAACGTAAACCCACCAAATCTTGGACCTCCATTTCCACCAAGGAGGAATGGATTTTCCTAAAAGTGTGAAACACCCCTCAAATGAATTTGAACAAAGATCTTTAAAAATAAGTTTGAGGCCGATCGGATGGAAAACAAATAAGTTACTTACAAACGTTTTTCGCGGTTTCCACACTTGCGGGTGGAACTTCCCGAAACCCCGTCTTAACGTGCACCTACATCACATAAGGTAACTACAGTGAAAATTTCAGCTTCCTAGCTCTTACGGTTTGGGCTGTGCGTTGATCATTAATCAGTCAGTCAGTCAGTCAGTCAGTCAGTCATTCAGTCAGTCATTCAGTCAGTCATTCAGTTAGTCATTCAGTCAGTCAGTCAGTCAGTCAGGTCAAACAGTTTTAAATATAGATATAACAGCATATTTGAATGCGTTGTTTACAGAAGTTATATTAATATTTGCATCGAATTAAAAATACAAATTTTCTACAGAGCCAACCTCAGTACACAACATGCCTTCATATGTCAACACAAATTTGGGATAGGTCATGCATGATCAGCGCTAGAAAACTAACAACATTTATTTCTTTGCCAGCTAAAGCCAGAGCAGTGAATAACAACACATATGTATATACATATTTTGACACATATGTATGTATGTATATACATATTTTGATGTAGTTATGCATGCATAATTCACACATGCAAACATAGGTGCTTGCACGTCATTGGCTGAGACAAGAAGTTCTCTCGAGCATACACTGTCCAAAAACAAAAGTGAAATCAATCTATGTGTGCCATTTTCCTAACATAGTTATTACACAAGATGCGCTTTGTGAAAAAATTATTTTATTCTTAAATTTTCCTGTAAAATTAATCGTTAGTATCTAGGCTAATGTGTCATTTAAATAAAGCATGCATTTCATGAATAAAGCATCGATCGTAAGTTTAAAACTTTTTCGCTCAATGTACTTCGAAAACGAAGAGACGCAAAGCACCATCGACCATTG